TTAGTCGTCAAGCAACTTTCGCTAGGGTCCACGGGATGGGTGACCAAACAATTATTATCTCGAGTTACTCCGTGCTTCGGAAGGCACATTAAGCCGTTGGCCCCGGCTGCATTTGCAGTCGTTAATACCCTCCGATCCGAATTGGGCCAGCGTGGAGGGTCATGGCCCATCCTTCTTAACCATAAATAAGGAAGGCCTGAGCTAACATTTTAAGTTTAATTGGAGAACTTTTACAGTTATGTGTAGCCTGATTTAATGCTACTGCATTATTTTATCACAGTTTCACGGGCATCGTTCCAATTAACGGAGAGGTTTATATACAGTCAACAGCACATTAGGTTATTACAAAATGCTAAAATTCAATACATTTTAAGAATGTCGGCGACATTTCAGCGAAACTACTGAACGGATTTTGAGGAAATTTGGTATACAAATAGAGTATTAGCTGTCTTAGATAATAGGACTTTTTATCCCACTAAACATTTCCCTAGGGACCACGTTGTCTAATCCGCTAGCGAAAGCTAGTATCATAATAAAAGGATGTATAATAATATTATTCTATTAAGTTATACAGAGAGAGATATTTAGTTAAAGTTATAAAAAGAAAAGAATTTTTGTATTTTTTTTTCCATTGAATAGAATAGAAATCACTGGACCGATTTAATAAATTCTTTTATGTAGGGAAAGCTACATTATACGCGGGTAATATAGGCTAAAATTTATGCGAGCAAAGTTGCAGGAAAACAGCGAATAATGTGAACAAAATACATTAAATTTGTAAAAACGCTTAGTTATAAAATAATCTCAAATATTTCAATCGAGTACGTTTGAGGACTTTAAAAAGGCATCCCCATCACGGCTTATAGTTTTAGGCAAATAAAACCTACTTGGAAAGGTAATAAAGGTTTTAATATGGTGCAACAGCGCTCTGTTTCTTACACCTTGAGTTGCACAACAGTCCATTGAAAGTGCCATTACTTTAAAGCGACATTATCTGTATATATTTTCCAATTTAGAACATTTGTTAGAATTTAAAATCGTCATTAAACCTTAATGGACGTTTGTGCTACTGAGTAAGAGAATAGCAAAACAGCTCTTGCCTGGTAAACAGAATTGTTTTTTTTTAATAACACAGATATTTGTCTCGTATAAAATTCACGAGATGCAAGTCTCATTTTCTACTTACTGCTACAAGGCATCTGGCCTTGTAGCAATAAGTAGCCTTATAATGCAATAGAAATTTCTTGAAAATTCTTGCATTCTTATTAGTTTTTAAAATCCGCCAATTTCACTTGCATATGTGTCTGATATTCTCAGCTCTCTTTTTCACATGTTAGCGTTGAAATATACAATTTTGTATTGTGAGCTTCATTTTTGTGGCTTAAGCTTTTGCTGCCAAGAAGTAATTTTTCATTGTTTAGTAGACATTCCACAGGGCACAGATGGCTACAGATTTTCTGCATAAGGAAATAATAAGTATAATGGATTCAATAAATATCATTCCACTTTTAGTACACAACAAAATTGTTTTTTGTTTTTAATATATTTAATCAATTTCGCATTCACAGATAAAATATACTTGGAAATTTAAATATTTGTAAAAATATATATTTCGGCTGTTTGGGTTGATTCCCTGAACGTTGATGTAGCGAAAAAGTAACAAGTGCTTGAAAGATTCGTCAGTCCTGTTAGGTCCTGGGTAGCTCAGTGGTTAGAGCAGTCGCCTGGATTGCGAAAGGTCATGGATTTGAAACCCATCTCAGGGTGGCAGGGACCAAGTGGATTTTTTAAGCATTTATCATTAAAAATAAAATCGGATTTTATTTATTTACACATAGATACATTTATTTAATTTTATTTAACTTGTTAGATAACACCTTGTTATCTAATACAACAGTCAGGTTCTATGTTTCTTTTTATGTAGAAGTATTTGAGGGGACTTTTTTTGGCCACATAACTGGAACGAAAACACAATGGAAACTTTAATAGTTTAGGGCTGCGTTGAGGACAAGAGGCAGATCGCCTAGACGATGTACAGATCTGTAAAATCAACGATACAGAACGTGATTGAGAGCTCTAGCAGTGCAGCGAATTAACAATGATGGGGATCCATTATTGCCATAAAAGCAGTTCGGATCAGAATGACCGAAGAGTGAATGACCAATATGCTATTTGAACAACCACACCCACTCTATCGAGAGTGCACGATTGAGAAGATTTGAGGTGACTAGTGAATAAAATTACAACGTCATATAATATGTGGTACCCATTAAATCTTATCCCATTAATTTTTGAAACTCTTGAGCGTTTTTGGGACCGAAAATGTGCGTGTTGCAATGATTTTCCATACAACGCTTAATAGGAAAAATAGAGGAATGCGGGTGTCTTGTTTCTAGATACGTAATTAATAAATGAATATTATACAACATGACACACATTCCTCAGGACCCAGATAATGTGGTCAAAACCCTTTCGTTATAGTATTCTGAAACAATTAAAATCCCATTTATTACTTAAGTGATATAACAATTTATTTTTATCTGGCAATCAAACCTAGGGCGATATCAGTTATACGAATTTTTATGTACATATCAGTATTACTTAGCTCAATAGAAGAGTACTGACGTTCATTTTACAAATTGGACTGGAAATGTATCTTGGTGTGGCGATAACCCGAGGAAATAGCCATTGCATGTTTCTGACCCTCTTTAGGGCACTAAACGGTATGAAAATCAGTGTATCGTTTCCTTAGCACTTATCCGAATCTCAACTCAATTATTTGCCAAATATACCTAAGAATTTCTATTTGCGTAATTTAAATTTTATTTGTGTTTACGCAATATAAAATTATGTGTTAAATTTTTATGATTAAATTAACATACAAAATTTATTAATAGATGATATTTTTGTTGAATATATGTTTAAATAAAAATGAAAGGAAATCTACTTCTGGCAAGAAAACTGATAATGGTGCTAATTTATTGTAGAATATTTACATCGAAAGGTTAAAAAGGGACCTTATTTATTATCACTAAAAGTCCGCTCTGCGTCTGTCAGTTACCAGATTCATGATGAACCGTGACATATAAAACGGAACCCCAGTACTAAGATTCCGCTGTCTGTCTGTCCGTTTATCGCCAGTTGAAATTTTCTAAAATTCTGATGATATATTTCTGTTGCTGCTTCAACAATAAATACTAAAAACAAAATAAAATAAATATTTAAGGGGGCTCCCATACTTAGTATATTTGGCTGAGGTCATTACCATCGTCTTATGAGTTCGAAAATTCATAGAAAAAAGCTGTTAGTGATTATGTTACAACTATTGTTATATGTTATGTTATGTTGTGCGGCGGGCTTTTCCGCAACTCGACACCTTGTGCCTATTTTGCGTGAATGATGGGGTTGCATCAGTCCTGCCACCCCAGCTCCTCCAGGAAGCCCATGAGTCCTTTAACTTTGCCGCAAGCCTCCTTTAATGTCTGTGGGCTACCCAGATGTGTAGTCCTATGTCCTGAAACGCCCCTGCATTCCAGTAGTACGTGAGCGCTTGTCTCTTCAGCGTCCAGGCATGCCCTGCACAGAGAACTGTCAGAGATACCCATGTTATATAAGTGTTTGTTAAAATAGCCATGACCAGTTAGTATACCTACTATTAGTCTCAACGTTTGTCTAGGTAGTTTGATTAACTTACGTGCCAGTTGCAGGTCTACCTTGGGGATTGCTTCTTTGGCTTGCCTGCAGTCAGTCGTTTGAGTCCAGTATTCGTCGTGTTGTCTGTGACAGCGTTCTCTTACCCAGTTTCTCAGCTGTCGAAATGGAATGGGTATAATGGGTTCCGGTCCAATGGGCTTTCTGCTTGACCCTTCTCTGGCCAAGCTGTCTGCCGCGTCATTTCCTCTTGACCCGCTGTGCCCCTTAATCCATTGTAAGGTCAGTTTATTTCTTATGCATACCTCTGTCAACTTACAGTGACATTCGTGCAGTAGACCTGATGTCATCATATTGTTATTTAAAGCTTGTAATACCGATGCGCTATCAGAGAGAATACAACTATTGTAGCACGTGGGGAAATTTTCAAGATATTTTCTATGTATCGGGGAAATCGAAAAGCAATTTGAAGAAGACGATCTTATCTCAGATGTGAAGGCAAATTAAATATTGGCTTATCACTGTTCACGTAAATCCCACATCCGAGGAAGCCTTATTGACAAATTTGCAGCTGAAAGTCTAACGAGCGTTAAACTAAATCCTTTAAATAACGAAGAAAAATGTATATCGATTATTTTTTCTATTTTATGTTTCGACAAATATGACTGATATCTGTCGATTTCGTTGACTCATCATCATCATCATCATCAACCTTTTTACATACCCACTGCAGAGGCTCAGGACTCCCTTATGGCTGGCCTTTTTTTGACAGGGGGATAATACATTAATAGTTTCGGAGATATGGTGTTATGATGGTGCTATGATTGGCGGGGGGACCGCAAACGTTAACGGACGTGTTTGAGATCATTGTTGTGTTCATTGATGTTTTGTTGCAGTTATAGCAATAATTAGTACTTAAATATAATATCAGTGTATTTATCAACAAATTCCCTGTTGAACTGTGTAATATTTTTGTGGTTATGTTCCGTGATTGAAGAATAGTGACGATTTTCATTTGAATATTGGTCGGTGTTCATTTATAAATCAGTGACAGTAAGATTTGTTAGCTGGCCTTGTCGAGTGAGTTGTTCATCGAACTTGTCAAACAGGTTCAGTGAACCGCTTGGAGCTGCTTGCTGCCTTTAGAGTGTATCCGTATTTTATCATCGCTTTCATCGCTTCGGTGGTGTGGTGGCGCCGCTAACAGACTGATTTAGCTAACTGTGGCGGGACCCGGGTCGGGTCAACGGAACGCTAGTCTTTTTTTTTTTTTTATTTTATTGCTTTTGTCTGTCTTATTTTCTTTACTATATTAAATATAATAATAAAAATATATATTGCCCAACAACATGTCGAGCAATGATAGAATTTGTGGAGGTTGTCGGAAATCCATCGAAGATAAAAGGTTTCTGAGCTGTAGTGCCTGCGGACTACATTATGATTTGGAATGCGCCAATGTCTCAGAACAGCGGTTTTATAATACCATGAGCAAGGATCACAAAAAAGCCTGGAAATGTGTTATGTGTTTCAGTCGGCAACCTAAGGTTGACAACACTAATACACCTGTTCGTGGAACTGCCCTTGGGGTCACGGTACAGCGGGGTGCTGCTGTTGAGTCTCCGTCTGGTCTAGACATGGATTATTTAAACGATACTGCGCATAATATTACTATCGAAATCACAGATTTTCAGTCGTTAGTTATGGAGATGCGAGCGTTTAGGGAAGAGATGCGGGAGGAAATGCGCTCTGCTCGCCTTGAAACAAAACGGTTAAATGATACTGTGGCGGCGCTTACGGGTAGGCTCACAGAGTGCGAAGGCCGAGTTGCAGTTCTTAATGAGCGAGTGATTACACTTGAAACACGACTCACTACTGAAAAGGTGGACAATGCTTCGCTTATTGCTGAAATTGACAGAATGAAATCGGAACTAAATGATCGAGATCAAGATCTATTGCTTACGGAGCTTGAGGTGACTTGCATACAGGAACAGCCGAATGAAAGTTTGCTACATATTATCGGTACGGTTGCAACTAAACTTGGTGTTCATCTGGATGAACAGGATATTGTTAGTGTAGTGCGAGTGGGCCGTGTACTAGATGCATCCCAGACTTCTGCTGTGCCTCGCACGCGTCCAATTGTAGTGCGATTGGCACGACGTGCTGTACGTGATAAACTGTTGGAAGCTGCAAGAGTGCGTCGGGGTGTTACCACTGAGGGCATGGGTCTTCCCGGTAAACCTGCTCAATTTTTTTTAAATGAGAGACTGACTAAATATAACAGAATGTTGTTTCGGCGGGCGCGACAGATGGGGCGTGAGCGGGGATGGCGTTTCATCTGGACGAGGAATGGCCGAATTTTTGCACGTCAGCATCCTGGAGTCGGCTCCATTCGTTATGGTATTCGTGCTGAAGCAGACCTTAACCGTGTTTTTGGCCTGGAGGCGGGGCGCTTTAATAACTAATGTTCGCTGTTTTTCATTTTGCTTATTCATGCTTATTATGCTGTTCATGCTTCTTATATTGTACAGATATTGCTTTCCCATGATATGGCTGTATGCAATGTTATTGAGCTGTCGTGTATTGATTTTTTTTATTGCTTTTGCTGTGCTGTCTACTAATGTTCCAAATCTGCTTTCATTTCATAAAATTATTGTTATTTACTGCTACTGTACTGTTATTTACTGCTTTAAAATTCCACATCAAATTGAATTTTGGCAATCATATGGTAAAGCTGTATTTGCAATTGTTGAGTCTTCATGTATTTTTTTTGCCACGGTTTTGGTAATCTGTTTAGCGATGCTTAGACTCTGCTTTAAATTTTTAGTAGTATTAGCATTTACTTCCTTAAAGACTGAAATTATATCTAATGTTTGCAAGTTTATGTCATTTGAATTTATGATTTTAAATGCTTTTTATGTGCTGTTATGTAGAGTGTTATGTTTTATGTATGATTGTGCCGGTACGATGCAACTTAATGATTCCTTCTTGCTTTGCTATATTATTGTTTTACGTAATTGCTTAGAGATTGTTTTAATGAATTTGTATCTTCTTTTTTTTTAAATTGGTTTTTAATCTGATAATCAATGTTTTAGATTCATTTAAATTAATTTTTAATATTACTGTCAATTTGATAAAATTTAATTTGAATAATGATCTTATTATGTATGTTTTAAAATTGTTAGGGTTGATTTTTATTGTTATTATCAATATTTTATATTTTGTTTATTCATGGTATCAGTTTGCTATATTTAATTTAATTTTATTTTTTCTTCTTATGATATCTACATGTAAATATTCAATAACTTATAAATTTAAAGAATTACCAATATGAACACTAAAACTAAATTTCTGAAGCTAGCGTTATATAATGCAGGATCGCTTAACACGGGTCATGATGATTTTCTTGTAGCTATGACTCATATTGATGCGGACATTGTTGCTATTAACGAGACATGGTTGCGTACTGGTCAGGAAGCAAGGGCACCTGTCGTCTCAGGCTACCGGCTGCGGAATCTTCCTCGTCCACAGCACATGCGTAGAGGAAGAGGTGGGGGAGTTGCTTTTTATCTTAAGCAAAACTTACGTGTGCGGTTTTTAAGTCATCCTCATGTAAATATCGAACAGATGTGGCTATCGACCAAAGCAAATGGTATACGTGTAATAGTAGGCACGGCATATAGACCACAATGGATAAATGTTGACTCATTCCTGGACGCATTAACGGAGACTATAGCGACTTTTACAAATTATGAATACATTGTGCTTATGGGTGACTTCAACATTAATGTGATCAATTATACAAGTGATAATGTAAAAAAACTCAATAATTTCCTGCAGTGTTTGGACTTGCGGCAGGTTGTGAATGAGTGCACACACTACTCCGTTGATTCTGATAGCTTGATAGATTTGGTTTGTACTAATTGTAAGACTCGTGAACTCACTGTGTCGAGTGTTACAGGATCTTTGGGCCATGCAATGGTTAGCTTTAGTTTAATAATAAAAAAACCGAAGATCCCGCCTAAGCATTTGATATACAGACCGTTGACGAAAATCAATTTGGAGAATTTCAATGCTGATCTTAACTCTATTGATTGGGAAGCGGTTTCTGGCATGCCCTCGGTTGAGTCCATGGTAGATAAGTTTAATCAGCTATTATTATTTCTTTTTGATAAGCATGCTCCACTGGTATCGTTAAAATTGAAACAAAACAAATCATTACCTTGGATAACTGACACGATTAGGATGATGATTCAGTTAAGGAATAAAGCATTTGCTAGATTTAGGAAGTCAAAATCTGAGGTACATCGAAAATACTATAATGACCTAAAAAAAACTCTTAAAACTAGTATTTACAATGAAAAACGTGCATATTTTAATTATTATATTAATTCTAATAGCGGAATCAATAAACATTTTTGGAAAAATATAAAACAGAAGATCTTGGTGCAGCCTCCTAGGGATGATTTCAGTGATGACGTCGGTAGCCCAGACCAGATCAACAATCATTTTTTAAAAGTTCCTGGTTCTGACACTGCTTCTATATCTTATATGACATTTTTTGAATATAATAGGTTTCATTCTCTTAAATCGACATTTATGTTGAAGCCTATCTCTGATAAAGATGTTTTGGATCACATTAAATCTATAAAGTCAAATGTTGCGGGAAGTGATGGTATCGATAGGGACATGGTGCTGCTTACTCTTTCACGAACCTTATCAGTGATTACAGATATTATTAATAGGTCTATCACTTGTGGTATTGTCCCCTCCTGTTGGAAGTATGCTTTTGTGACGCCAGTACCTAAAGTTGAACCAGTAGCTAATCGTGGAGATTTGCGACCTATTAGTGTGTTGTCTTTTTTGTCAAAAATCCTTGAAAAAGTTGTCCATAGCCAGTTGATTAAGTATGTGGAAGATAATAATATTTTGCCATCTCAACAGTCAGGATTTCGTAAGGGACGTGGTACTGTTACGACACTATTAGATGTCACGGATGATATCCTATCTGCTCAAGATGAAGGGCAGTGTACTCTAATGGCCTTACTTGATTTTTCGCGCGCGTTTGACTGTATTAATATACCATTGCTTCTGTCTAAGTTGGCATATTATTGTTTCGACCACTCTGCAATTAGGTGGTTTGACAGCTATCTTAGTGACCGTTACCAATCAGTTAAAATTAGAACGCAGAATGGTTTATATTTGGTTTCAGATCCTGCACCAGTTAATCGTGGGGTGCCACAGGGGTCCATACTTGGACCCTTACTTTTTATTATTTACAGTGCTGACCTGCCCTATGTGATAAAGCATTGTAAATATCATTGTTATGCCGATGATGTACAATTGTATATATCTACGAATTCTTCTAGTACATCTCAGGCTCTGCAGCTTCTGCAAGAGGATCTGAATTCCGTGTCTGCATGGTCCACTAGTAATACCCTTGTATTAAATGCGGCCAAATCAAAGTTAATGCTGTTCGGAACAGACAGGCAGACTGCTGGTATCTTAAGTAGAGGTTTAACTGTAAATCTCTCAGGAGATAATATTGAGTGTGTCAGTGAGGCAAAAAATTTGGGTGTTGTTATGGACAGCCGATTACGCTTTGAGACTCACGTCTTGAATCTGGTCCGCAACTGTTTCTATCGCTTAAAAATCTTATACAAAGTTCGTGATTATCTGTCAGTAAAAACGCGTATCACCCTCTGCGAATCTCTAGTTTTGTCTAGACTCAATTACGGCGACCTAGTCTACGGACCCCGACTGTTGCATAGAACTAAGAAATTGATCCAGCGTATACAGAATTCATGTTGTCGGTTCTGTTTCAACATACCTCCTCGTTCCCATATTTCACCTTATTTAAACAGCGCTCTTATGCTTAATATGGAGTCTCGAAGAAAGCTGCACCTTGCTGTCCTCATGTTTGATATCATTAAATATGAAATTCCCGAATACCTGTATAACAAATTACGCTTCTCAAGGTTCCACAATAGATACGGATCCGGTGTACCACGATCAGCTAGGCCTCCTTTAACGTTTCATTCCCATAGGACAGTTGCTTTTACCGGATCCTTCCGTTACCAGGCGACTAAGTGTTGGAACAACATACCTCCGCCAATAAGACTTCTCTCAACTAAAACAAACTTTAAAACACATTTTAAAAAAGTCTTATTGGAACATCAACAAAAAAGGAATTGACTGATGTCGCCTAGGTGGCGGATATTGTCCTCTTTGTTTGATGGTGATGTTAAGTGTTTGTGTTCGATTTTCCGACATTTATATTATTATTTCATTTCAAATTGGTACAATTTTATATTAAAATGTATTTTTAATTTATATTTATTAACTTATTTTATACGTTTTTCTTTATTATTATTATTATTTTTTTATTCAATAATGAATTTGATGATATGCTTTTATGATTTTTCACTTTGGTCTTTGGTTCCCCGCTAATCCAAACTTAGGTTAAAGCTGAAAATCGGCAGTTTGCTTTTCAAGCAAACATATTGCCGAGCTTTTGCCCTTTTTGCATCGTCCCGGCATACATGTGATCCTGTGTGTGTTTTAATCGCTTGTTTAATTTAATTTCTTTATATTTATTTTGTTTTTATATTTTATGTCAGTGTGTATTTAGCATGTTGTGCTGTGATTATTGCAAATAAAATTATCATTCATTCATTCATTCATTCTATGGTTTCCGGAACTGCTGCTAGTAGGCCGAAAAGGCTTCTTACAAATTCAAGCCACTAAGAAACGTCACGCTTTGCTACGGTAGAGAAGAACGTATGAACGCCTTAGAAATCTTTGCAATTAATGTCTTTGTTATTTGTGCGTTTATGTTTATTGTTGTTATAGCGAAAGTTGTTTTATGTAACTAATTTAATGCCTTATGTATTTTACCAAACTTTTGTGATCCGTTTTCCCTAATTCTTCCAACTTTACAAATCATAACATATTCCAAATTAAGGTGGTTAATTCTTTTTTTAATAATGATAAGTTAAAATGGTTCATATTTTCAAAATACATAACAGAAACCTGTATATAGGTGCGTCGTACCACAACGTTTATTTTGTCCTAGGTTCCAACACCCAAACTTTTTGTCTTTGATCTTTGACATAATTAGTTTGTTTATTATTCATTTTTCGAAATTTAAAATTTTGAGAAACGCGAACGCTAAAACGCTCTTTCTGAATGTCTATTCGCAAAAATGTCATCCAATGAGAACATTATTTTTATCGTATAAATCAGCAGTATAGAAACATGTAAACATGAAATATCTATTAAGTTCTACCTCTTATAAATCCCAGAAAAGGGATATGTAATTGTTTAATTTTGGTACTATAACGTCCGTGTACATTACTATAGGTAGGTTTACTCTCCGGACGATTGATGGTCAATGCTGGCCGCTAATATTTTGTATTATTACTTTTCCGGATTCGAATTCGCGTGTTCATGTTTTTTCTGATTG